TTAGTGTCATGCTACCTCTCGAGATTCGTTTGCTGTACATCAAAGATCAAACCGGTCATTTTTTCCCGTCCTCAAGGTGTCGCACACGGAACCTTCCATTTTGTCATGACATTTTCCAGGTGCAGAGAACGAAAGTGATCGTAACCTCTGGAGTATCGAAGATGACAAATTATTTGCTGCTGCAATTGCATCGTCCGCCAATGTTATTTAATTGCAATATCTCTACCTCTCTAACATATAGAAAATCAAATGGTTAGAATTTTAATGTGGAATGGAATATAATTACCGGAAGTTAATTTGTTTAATGTTCCTTATGAGGTTTTGTCTTATTTTCAGTGTGAGATGTGTGACATTGCGTCTGTACTACAAGCCCGATCTAGAACCCGTGAATAACATTGTAACATTTATGGTGCTTGAAATGCGTCATTATTAATAACAAACGGAAATTAATATGAAGTCGTAATAAGCTTGGATTTCATCTCTTATCAATTCCTGAATAAATTGAACACACATCCGATGGGTTAAAGTATATAAGATGTACTTCACTTTCTTCTACAATTATAAGGTTCATAAAATATTATGTTGTTTTTTTTTCTAAATTATTGCGCATGTGCATATATCAATATGACTTTACCTTGGTTTCCTAATAGACTTTATAATTCCAGCCCCAATCATTACTGACGAATCCTAGATGGACGAAACAGCTGTACGATACAATTTACCAACACTAAGTCCATATCTGCAAATGCTTTAACTAGTATGTTTTTTATACGCTATTCAAAGACAACACTTTCTAACGACAATTTTATGGAGGAATTCTAGACTTTGATGGCTACGCCTGCTGTGCTTACTCAAACTCTTACCAGCAGGATTCCCGAATGTATGAACAGTATTTACCTAATTCTGGAAGTTTCGCTAGTAGCAAGGAATAAGGCGGCCAGATGTAAATTTTCTGTGATGTTAATACCGATTCAGGTTCTCGGAATAATATTATCTGTCTTGACATTCAACTCTCGTAGTCGTTTATTCTAATTTCAGCATTTAGAAAACGAACATTTAACAATAGTGGTGGTATTTTCACTTTTAACACATTAGCTTTGGAAAGTGCTGTCTTGTCACAGGGCGTAACACAGCGAGCGATGTCCCAACTGGCACATCCATTATCACCTAGAATGTAATTCTGACGAAAGTTCAAACCCACGACTTGTTTTAACCGCGATATATTTAGATGGCTGAAGCAGTTTGATCGATGAGGATGCTGATGGCTTGGAAGTTGGACTTAATTTCTCGTGAGGTTGTTCTTCTGCAGAATGTCAACAAATGCTTATATGCTATACACAGTGCTCGGGGACACTACAACATCCCACCTGGCCGTCCCTGGTAGCATAATTAGACTGGTCGTCGAAAACAAGTGTGGATCATTCTATTACTTCGAAAAGGAAGTATGCCACTAAAAGATTCACATAAGGTTTGATTGAGTATCGACAAGTTAAGTAATTAACCGGTCGCTGGGAAGGGAACATGCTTTACAAGTTGACTTCTCCGCCATGACAGACAAACACAACTCTTCTCTCTTGACATGTACAAAGAAAATTTATACGATGGACGACTTGGGACTTAAGATGCTTTCCAAAATTCGGGGTCAGGTGAGAGGATATGAGAAAATCTTAATTCAATTTATATATAATATTGTAATTTACACTCTCATCATAAATGTTAAAACTAAATGATGTAGGAAGAAAAATGTATAGCTTACATAATTATCACAAGTGTAGTTCATATAATGAATACATGATTCATTATGAACCGCCATTGAACGTGAAAATGTTTAACCACGAATTGAAACATTCGTCTGTTTTCAGATACTTTTCTGTCTGTAGATATCAAGTCTGACTCTACAGTTGAAAGTAAAGAAGAAAAGATAATGAGATGTATGTTGTAATTATGTCAATCATAAATACCGTTCATGTACACATAAACGACATCAAAAAGGCGTCAGCAAACACCAACAGTGAACTAGGGGAGTTTCTCGTCATCTGAAAAAACTTGAAAAATATTTTAATTCCGTTTTGGTCGTTCATTGTATTTAGACATTAAAGATATTCACAAATATATATTGATAATCTCCAACACTGCCCGAAACCTTATTTGTTTGTTTAATCAATAACCAAAACACGCAGACATACAAATGTCTTCGCCTGGATTCTGGTCATGAAACAGAAGCTTCAGTTGCAGTGTACAACGCCAGAAAAAAAATGGATAAGATTATTGACAAACGTCTTAGTTTCTCTATAAATTCCTTATCTCACTCTTTATGAAGTCTCTATGTTTCTTGCTTCTTATACATACCTCTAAGTCTATAGGTAGTGGCTTATGTATATCCTATGTTTAGTAATATGTGTCTGTGTTGTAGTGGCTTATGTATATCCTATGTTTAGTAATATGTGTCTGTGTTGTAGTGTATACCTCTAAGTCTATAGGTAGTGACTTATGTATGTCCTATGTTTAGTAATATGTGTCTGTGTTGTAGTGGCTTATGTATATCCTATGTTTAGTAATATGTGTCTGTATTGTAGTGCATACCTCTAAGTCTATAGGCAGTGACTTATGTATATCCTATGTTTAGTAATACGTGTCTGTGTTGTAGTGGCTTATGTATATCCTATGTTTAGTAATATGTGTCTGTATTGTAGTGCATACCTCTAAGTCTATAGGCAGTGACTTATGTATATCCTATGTTTAGTAATGCGTGTCTGTGTTGTAGTTTATCGTTGTACGTGTAATGTGTGATATCTGTACATGATTTGTTAAACAATAAGACTGAATTTTAAATATACATCATTATTATGGGAATTGTACAATTTCTGTATGAGTCACATTAGCAATTGGATTACACACGAGTTTTATTGGAGTTTTCGCTATATATGTATGTACATTGGTATAAAAATGCTAATGTACCATCCGAGGAAAAAAAGTAAAGGGCATTTACTTACGTTTTGATAGGAATATTTTTCTAATTTCGTGCTGGTATGAAAGACAACCTTTCTGCAACCTGAATGCATGCACGTAGCGCACTCACGGGAAGTTAGGCAGATTCATTGCGTTTGCAAAAAGGTTCTTCTTTCATACCGGCACGTGACTGAAATATAGCAAGAGCTTATAACTAATTTCTTATTTAGGTTTCAAAAACAAAACCAAAAAATAGACAAATATCTAAATTGGATGATTTCTTTAATGATTATTTTATAACACATCAGAACGCTTAACAGCTGGCGTGACATGACGTCATTGACATCAAATTCGCGCCATTTTAAGTCTTTTAAATTCCTTACTGAGAGGGCCCAAATGGAAAAGTCTACAAGAATAATTTTCCCTGATAAAGTCGTTAACTATTCCTTGGTCATTTTTGTGTTCGTTGTAAGATATTTGGATATTTGATGATGGTGTGTGTGTATATTTTTTACATCATGGAAATGTTAACAGAAATTCCATTCATAAAAAATGGGGGTTCATCAGACCCGCCACAAGGTGGCGTGTTGTCCTTGACTTCCTCCAATGATTATCAAGTGGGCGGAACTAGAACTAAAAATCGACGTACGAAATATATCAGAAAGTTGCATTATAGGAACAACGAAATATTAGATATAACTTTATGAATGTCGTGGTATGACGTCATCGTTACTATTCATGATGTCATATTGTAACCTTACAATTGTGACGCTATGTATCGTGTTACGAAGCACTATCTAATAATATATATATATCTTCATGTTTTGTACCAGTCCTGCTAAAAACTTAGCACAAAATAGCATTACAATGTATCATATATATATATTTTGTATTGAATAGACTGTGATTAAACTTGACGACTCTCAAAATTGACAGAAAAATCAAACAAAAAATGGTTAAAAAAAATAAAATTGACAGAAACATCAAAACAAAAAATGGTTAGGAAAACAAAATTGACAGGGTTATTAAAACAATGAGAAGAAATTAACAATGCACAAAATTGACAGAAATATCAAAATAAAAAAAGGTTAAAAAGCAAAATTGACAGGGTTATTAAAACAATGAGAAGAAATTAACAATGCACAAAATTGACAGAAATATCAAAATAAAAAAGGTTAAAAAGCAAAATTGACAGGGTTATTAAAACAATGAGAAGAAATTAACAATGCACAAAAGTGACAGAAATATCAAAATAAAAAAAGGTTAAAAAGCAAAATTGACAGGGTTATTAAAACAATGAGAAGAAATTAACAATACACAAAATTGACAGAAATATCAAAATAAAAAGATGGTTAGGAAACAAAATTGACAGGATTATTAAAATAGGACAAAAAAGGACTTGATGAACAATGCACAGTACTCAAACTATCGCCCATGTTGACATTTCACAGTGATTCGATCAAGAATTCGAAAATGGCGTTGCTTTAGAAACGGTTTACACCGAAGCTGGTCTTCACGGGTTAGCATTCGGCAGATTAATGTGATCTGTGTATGGATGGCCTTGGAGGAGACGAGATCTGTCGACCTTGTGTCGGCGTCATTCTGCGGAGCCTCGTAAAAAATGAACATTGGATCATTCGGGTTATGTTAAAAAAGAATTACCGTAAAATGTATATTTGCGACAAAACGTGTTTGTTGAATTATGATTGATGAAAAATGATGATTCCTATCATATCCTTTAGTCATCTACAATTTCACTGGATGGTATAAAGATGTACAATCAATATAATATATTATACAGTGAGAAACGTCCTATGATAACGGTCACAGACGTCCCCTGCATTTGTCCAAAGTGATATCAACGTATTTGAGGTGCGAGAAGAATTGGTATCTTGACATTTCATGAATTGCTTGTAGAGCCAAAGTACTGTGAATGTATTTTTGTCTGACGGTGTACGAAAATACCTTGACAATTTATACACCGCACTCTTTCACACAGATAGCAGGTTAGTTGTTCCTAATACTGATACTGGTTTCTTTTCTGTTTACAGAAATATGAAGATGAACGAAGTCTGTGCAGGAGTTCTAGTTACATGTCGGATGCTTCTCAGTTCGACACAGGGTCGTATGGGACACTGTTTTCTCAGATACAGGAAGTATCGACGGAATCCGAGGGGCCCCTGGAGTTTGTGGCCCGAGTGATCCGAGTTCTCTGGAGTTCACGTAAGTGTATAACACGTCACAATACACGTCACAATATATCATAAAGAGTTGTCAATAGAAACAGAATCCAAAATCAATTTATCTAGGGCAAAGAATAAACAAATAAATGACAACTAAATGGCGACCATTGAAACAAGGAAGTGGAGAAACAAGACATATTCCGGAAAGGTAAGCGTCTTCTGTTTTGTCGGCGACACCCGCCATGTCAATCCTGATCAATCTAAGTAAGTCCCTGAATGAGAACAGTGCTAACAGCAACGAAACCACCAGGCACAGTGTGTCAAACACATATCGCGCAAGAATATATACCCAGCGAGATCATTGCCATATTACATCCGAATATCAGCAGGCGTTGTATGTGACTTTGTCTTGTCCGGAACTTTTGATATTGCGAACAAATCCGAATATCGACTCTAACGTAATCTAAACACTAGGTTGTGGAAAAGGGAATGTTACTGTCAAGAAATTGCACGTTTTCTATTAAACTTGGTGGAAAATTGTCACTTTTGGATTCGTTGTAAAAGATCAGGTAATCGGCTGATGAGTCCGTAGAGGGTTGGTAGGGATCAACTGGTAAACAGAAACAGTCTATTGTAATGAGTGAGTTATGAAGGTACGTTTGTCTATATGTTTCTGTTCTTGACCAGTAAACAATCTATTGTAATGAGTGAGTTATGAAGGTACGTTTGTCTATATGTTTCTGTTCCTGCTCTTGGTCAGTAAACCATCTATTGTAATGAGTGAGTTATGAAGGTACGTTTGTCTATATGTTTCTGTTCTTGACCAGTAAACAATCTATTGCAATGAGTGAGTTATGAAGGTACGTTTGTCTATATGTTTCTGTTCCTGCTCTTGGTCAGTAAACCATCTATTGTAATGAGTGAGTTATGAAGGTACGTTTGTCTATATGTTTCTGTTCTTGACCAGTAAACAATCTATTGCAATGAGTGAGTTATGAAGGTACGTTTGTCTATATGTTTCTGTTCTTGACCAGTAAACAATCTATTGTAATGAGTGAGTTATGAAGGTACGTTTGTCTATATGTTTCTGTTCCTGTTCTTGGTCAGTAAACAATCTATTGTAATGAGTGAGTTATGAAGGTACGTTTGTCTATATGTTTCTGTTCTTGACCAGTAAACAATCTATTGCAATGAGTGAGTTATGAAGGTACGTTTGTCTATATGTTTCTGTTCCTGCTCTTGGTCAGTAAACCATCTATTGTAATGAGTGAGTTATGAAGGTACGTTTGTCTATATGTTTCTGTTCTTGACCAGTAAACAATCTATTGCAATGAGTGAGTTATGAAGGTACGTTTGTCTATATGTTTCTGTTCTTGACCAGTAAACAATCTATTGTAATGAGTGAGTTATGAAGGTACGTTTGTCTATATGTTTCTGTTCCTGTTCTTGGTCAGTAAACAATCTATTGTAATGAGTGAGTTATGAAGGTACGTTTGTCTATATGTTTCTGTTCTTGACCAGTAAACAATCTATTGCAATGAGTGAGTTATGAAGGTACGTTTGTCTATATGTTTCTGTTCTTGACCAGTAAACAATCTATTGTAATGAGTGAGTTATGAAGGTACGTTTGTCTATATGTTTCTGTTCCTGTTCTTGGTCAGTAAACAATCTATTGTAATGAGTGAGTTATGAAGGTACGTTTGTCTATATGTTTCTGTTCTTGACCAGTAAACAATCTATTGCAATGAGTGAGTTATGAAGGTACGTTTGTCTATATGTTTCTTGACCAGTAAACAATCTATTGTAATGAGTGAGTTATGAAGGTACGTTTGTCTATATGTTTCTGTTCTTGACCAGTAAACAATCTATTGTAATGAGTGAGTTATGAAGGTACGTTTGTCTATATGTTTCTGTTCTTGACCAGTAAACAATCTATAGTAATGAGTGAGTTATGAAGGTACGTTTGTCTATATGTTTCTGTTCTTGACCAGTAAACAATCTATTGTAATGAGTGAGTTATGAAGGTACGTTTGTCTATATGTTTCTGTTCTTGACCAGTAAACAATCTATTGTAATGAGTGAGTTATGAAGGTACGTTTGTCTATATGTTTCTGTTCCTGTTCTTGACCAGTAAACAATCTATTGTAATGAGTGAGTTATGAAGGTACGTTTGTCTATATGTTTCTGTTTCTGTTCTTGACCAGTAAACAATCTATTGTAATGAGTGAGTTATGAAGGTACGTTTGTCTATATGTTTCTGTTCTTGACCAGTAAACAATCTATTGTAATGAGTGAGTTATGAAGGTACGTTTGTCTATATGTTTCTGTTCTTGACCAGTAAACAATCTATTGTTATGAGTGAGTTATGAAGGTACGTTTGTCTATATGTTTCTGTTCTTGACCAGTAAACAATCTATTGTAATGAGTGAGTTATGAAGGTACGTTTGTCTATATGTTTCTGTTCTTGACCAGTAAACAATCTATTGTAATGAGTGAGTTATGAAGGTACGTTTGTCTATATGTTTCTGTTCTTGACCAGTAAACAATCTATTGGAGATAGATCCTGCAGGTGAATGTGGCCTATCAGTCTGTAACGATATATGTCAGAACAGCCATTCCTTTATTTTACAATATGATCATGGCACCGGTAGCAATCAAAAGCAGTTGTTTTCTTAATCAACCAATCTTTTGTGTGTATGTATTAATACACTACAAACATCTGTTGGTTAGACCTGAGTGACAATACCACAAAGATACAAATTACACTTTAAGACACGTAGGTTGTCCATTGAATAGCGAACCTGAAGGACTCCATGAAAGTCAAACACTTCACTAAAGCAAAACCTATACTTTGTTTACCTGTGAGTTTCTTGTTAAGCACAGCTACATGGGTATAGAATCGTGATCATATTAAAGTATGAACAACTGAAATCAGATACATGGAAATCCGTGATCAGATTGTGACCAGGAAGGGAGAGCATATTCGTTTGAAATGGCGATACTCCGAATATAAAATTGAGTGAAATCCGTGTGATATTTTATCAATATGTAGCTGCTGTAATAACGGGAATCCATAAGATGTGCTGAAGGAATACATCGATCATCACGTGACACAAAAATATCCAAGATGTCGATAGCCAACCTTGTTTACAATCTTCACCAGCTCCTAAAACCGTTTCAAGTTTATCCATCAGCAAATTATATCTATAATGGACATCGGCAATAAAATAAGAGACGATGATTTGACAGAATTTTGATTGGACATTATTGTTTATATGTGGAGGGTGCCTTTGGAAGAAGCAAGTGACTTACTATCTCACTGAGTGGCATGCATGACGCTCGTCGCATGGTATCCAAAGCATTTTTGATAAAATTTCGTGTTCAAGGATACATCGAAGAGAGCATGAAATGGCCCTTGACCAGAGCTTCATAGAAACGCACACTGGTCCTGCTGATGACTGAACCACCAAACTCACATCATCAATAGCGTTGATGCGATGTTTTTAACATGGAACTGTCATGGGCTCCGTACAAGCCGAGCAATTTCATGACAAGAAAAAAAAAAGAAGAAAAAAAAAAAAAAAAAAATAAGAAAACAGAAAAAATACCAACTAACCAACAAAGTCATAACCCAAAAAAACATGAACAGAAGAAAGATTTACACGTGACTCCTGAACAAGCTTAGGGAGAATAATATAAGATGTTCCGGAAAAGTAAGCGTCTTTTGTTTCATCGACGGAACTCGCCATGTAAATCTTGGTGAAACCAAGAAAGCAAGTGATGTTCTCAAATGAAATAACCCAAAACAATAACGGAACAATGAGATGAATATGACGGCCGTAAAACTTATCCATAACTTTTATCAACCTTTATCTTTTTAAACCATGTGTTAGGAGTTTGTCCCTCATGTCACATCTTCATAGCGGTGATAGAAACAGGCCCAAACATATCGAACCCCTTGGGCTCTATATATATATATACGTTATCCTGGATATATTAGTTTGAGATTCATTAATCATATCTGTATTTTACGTGCACTAATTCTTCTTTGAATATAAACATTAATCTTCTGTTTGTCATCCAGTCGAACAGTGAGTACATCAAAGCAATGTTGTGGCCATTGCAAGCTTCACTTTTGAAATCGACGTTTGTTTAGAGAACGTGAACAGGATGATCAGATGACTTCGAAATGTAGGCTTAGCAAGGACTGAAGGCTCCTAGTCAGTATTCTGATACCATCAGTGCTAGTCAGGCAAAAAATTGAGATCGCGTGTGTTGAATTAGAAATGTCATCAATATGTCTGCATATGTTGCAATGGAACCGAACAAATACATTGTCAAAACCAATCAATGATTTGTTGTGTTATTAATTCTTTTTTTTTTATTTATTTATTTTGTTTCTGGATGTCAGGAATTGTTGTTCTAGTCGAATATAAAATGTCAAAGACATTCTAACAGAGAAAGCAAAGATCTGTGAGGATGAAGTTAATATCACGTTGTGTTCATATTACCACAGAAAGCGAAGATCTTTGAGGATGGAGCTAAGACCACGTTGTGTTCATATTACCACAGAAAGCGAAGATCTTTGAGGATGGAGCTAAGACCACGTTGTGTTCATATTACCACAGAAAGCGAAGATCTGTGAGGATGAAGCTAAGACCACGTTGTGTTCATATTACCACAGAAAGTGAATATCTGTGTGGATGAAGCTAAGACCACGTTGTGTTCATATTACCACAGAAAGCGAAGATCTGTGAGGATGAAGCTAAGACCACGTTGTGTTCATATTACCACAGAAAGCGAATATCTGTGAGGATGAATCTAAGACCACGTTGTGTTCATATTACCACAAAAAGTGAATATCTGTGAGGATGAAGCTAAGACCACGTTGTGTTCATATTACCACAGAAAGCGAATATCTGTGAGGATGAAGCTAAGACCACGTTGTGTTCATATTACCACAGAAAGCGAAGATCTGTGAGGATGAAGCTAAGACCACGTTGTGTTCATATTACCACAGTAAGCGAATATCTGTGAGGATGAAGCTAAGACCACGTTGTGTTCATATTACCACAGAAAGCGAAGATCTGTGAGGATGAAGCTAAGACCACGTTGTGTTCATATTACCACAGAAAGCGAAGATCTGTGAGGATGAAGCTAAGACCACGCTGTGTTACAAAACAATGAAATGATATTGGAATAGTACAAGGAAGTGAGGATAAAAACATTGATTGGATCATGATACATGTATCAGCTGAGTTAGCGATTAACTGAGGATAGCGAGATCATAACATTCAGTATGGCAGGTTTAAACATTTATTGTTTCATAAAAGATAAAAGCCAATTCTGAATTTTACTTCATCTTTTGGCAAATTAAGCTACACGTAATGAGCTGAGGTCATAGGTACATTGTTATAACGATTTCAATTTGCACTTTCACAATACAAATTATAGTACAGTGTATGTGGTTTGAGCATTGGGTTCTCACTTTGAATTCAAACGACGATTTTTCATCTCTCTTAAGTGATTGAACTGATTCAGTGTTTTGTGGTAAACCACTGATAGAGATTTTATAGATTGATCTGATTCAGTGTATCGTAGTAAACCGCTGACTGAGATTTGATAGACTGAACTGATTCAGTATATCGTGGTTAGCCATTCATTGAGATTTGATTAACAACGTTGTAACTATATACTCACTGTGTAAAATGAAGTGTAGTTTTTCATTGCATCCATCAGTATGGTATACAATTACTAATGATGACACTAAGGAAATGTCTTACACCCGGCGCCAGTGTTTTAAATACATAAAGGGACATTTGTGATTAAGGTCTGATGGTTTCAATAGATCGATCTTAGTTGAATTTTCGACGGTATACTGTGTGCAATGCTGTTTAAATTCATAAATTTAGATCAAACCCGTTGTATTGTTACACAATGTTTATTGTGGAGTCATATATACATCTCTGCTTACTTTTTACTGTTTTGGGAAATATGACACGAATCAATAGCTAGCATCTGTTGTCATATAAAATATTTACCTTGTTATCAGGCGTCATCAGACATTCCTGTCAGCATCAATCACCGAATGTCACATCGACCGCTTTACAACAGTACCTTCTGTTAACACGATAGGCAGTCATGATAATACAAGCGTCATATTGACCCCGTCTGAACAGTCTATATTCTCTTTATGATAAAGCCAGTCATACAAGCATCACACTGATCGCGTCTGAGTGTACTGAATCATATTTGTACACTACAAACAGTCAAACAAGCACCTCAGCGACTGCGTACAAATGTACATGCTGTGCACAACGAAACGATGCACACAAGCGTCGCATTGACCGCTCCTGAGGAGTTTACCATCTGTAAACACAAAAGCGAGCCATACAAGCGTCGCAATGATCGCGTCTGCGTGTACTGAATCATATTTGTACACTACAAACAAACAATCATTTCAGCGACCGCGTACAAATGTACTTCTTGTGCACAACGAAACAAGGCATACAAGCGTCGCATTGACCGCTCCTGAGGAGTTTACCAACTGTAAACACTATAGCGAGCCATACAAACATCACACTGATCGTGTTTTGACGGTCTTCAGTCTTAATAGACTGTTGTCTCCGTTCCCCATTGCCAGCTGTACAAACATCACGCCAAACTCACCTGGGCAATTTACAGTACATATACTAAGGTCTAGTGCTAAGCATGCACATTCCGGGTATTTTGTCAGGTACTCTAAAATGTGACAGTGCCAGATAGAACTTCCATAATATCGATAGAGAAGGTTGTGTTATAGGGCTTAATTACCGTATACATGTTCATAGTGTTGTCAACAGTCACATTATCCGTGACTGACCGCGTCTACCGGTTAGTTGTACTGTTGTCAGCCTGCTTAAATGTACTTGCAATTCTGGACTCTTAGGTATTCATTCAACCAATGGTCACGCTCAACGATTATACCTCCAATGCAATCAATTAAAAAAATGAACGAATTATGAAACACCCATTAAGTGTAAGAATATAGAATTAACAAAAATTAACATAATCAATACTCCAATGAATATATCAGCATATATACACCAGCAATAAACAATTTTTTCTGAAATATCTGTGTTCACTGTAATGTTGAGAGTATGGAAAAGTCTTTCGAACGAGTAATTAAGACTTTCTTCTGTTTGCATTAAACATGCATGGGATTTCTTTAAACAGAGAGAAACTATTTACATGTACCATGTTGATAGGGTATATTCCTAATAACCTGAAATAAAAACCGTTACATTGTGTTTTGAATCAATAGCAGAATACTCTGTATTTCTGTGTTTACTACAGTCTACTAATGGAGTCCATCAGTGGTGATAGTTCATCAATCCTCCTTCACGTGATGTTCCTAAGACGAGTTCGAAAACAGCCGATGTAGGCCAGTGTATGCCCTCAGTATTTCCCAGACAAGTCGAGGAACATGTTTCGAACATGCACATTCTATGTGCCTTAGGAAGGTTGGGGAAGTACCAGATAGAATCATGGGAACATTGATATAGTCGATAGGTGAGGTAGTGGTATAGTCTTGTGTCTGTGCTGACTGGGCTGTGTGACATTTTAGCTAGCAAATATTACTTCCAAATACTGTGTTTCGAAGCTGCTGGGTTTTCATTTGAAATCGTGATATTACTTGAAATGACCAAGATCTACATAACAGGTTTCGTCGATGAAGCAGAAGACGCTTACTCTTTAGCAACAACTCGTCTTACTGTCCTTGTACTTTTCCATGTGTTTCCTTCTTGATATTTTTTCTTTTTATATATATATATATATATATTTTGCACCAGATCCATGGTAGATTTAAAATCATTTCGTAATCATGAGAGCCTCATAGAAATGTGTTCCATTTCCTTGTGCTATCTCATTCGATGCGTTTGATGCCCACTGTATGTATGATGGTTTCCTTGCGGAACGTTTCCAGTTTCGTTGAAGATGTGAAAATTCTCTTTTCATGAACACCAATGTAACTTATTGTATTTATAGTTTGATGTTATCTTGACAACTCTTTCTAGTTGTAGCCACAGTGATCCTGGTGCTGCTGCTGGTCTTCACAGTGACCATGATAGGGGTCGGTAAGTACACACGGGTCAGTAAGTACACACGGGTCGGTAAGCAAACCTCTACACGGGTCAGTAAGTAAGCTGATCCTACACACGGGTCAATAAGTAAGCTTATCCTCCACACGGGTCAGTAAGTAAGCTGATCCTCTACACGGGTCAGTAATTAAGCTGATCCACTACACGGGTCAATAAGTAAGCTGATCCTCCACACGGGTCAATAAGTAAGCTGATCCTCCACACGGGTCAATAAGTAAGCTTACACTCCACATGGGTCAGTCAATAAGCTTATCCTCCACATGGGTCAATAAGTAAGCTTATCCTCCACACTGGTCAATAAGTAAACTTATCCCGCACACGGGTCAGTAAGTAAGCTTATACTCCACAAGGGTCAGTATTTAAACTTATCCTCCACACAGGTCAGTATTTAAGCTTATCCGTAACACGGGTCAGTCAATAAGCTTATCCTCCACACGGGTCAGTAAGTAAGCTTATCCTCCACACTGGTCAATAAGTAAACTTATCCCGCACACGGGTCAGTAAGTAAGCTTATACTCCACAAGGGTCAGTATTTAAACTTATCCTCCACACAGGTCAGTATTTAAGCTTATCCGTAACACGGGTCAGTCAATAAGCTTATCCTCCACACGAGTCAGTAAGTAAACTGATCAAAGTAAACCACGTAAAACAATGGCCGTATTATTTCAAATAGTCTTTTTTCCGGGATAACATCAAGACTTTTGTGGATTTCAAAATCCATGTCAATGAGGCAAGTGATATGCAAACTGATAACGAGTTTTAGACTACAATGTTTCGAAAGCCATCTTTATTGAGCGTGAAAGACTTCGTCATAACCTGTCGAAACTCCGCATATGAATATGTGGATATAATGATGGACGATTGTTACTTTAATGACTCAGTGAAATTGTGCACTTTTGGGATTGGCTTACTCTTCATTACAACAATGATTCAAAAGACAGTATAAACTAATACATAATGATGAAACCTCCTTTTCTTGTAGGAAGTGCCTACAGAAAGGACTGCCCGAAGGAGCCGAAACTTCCCATTTACCTGCTGGTTGGAGGCTGTTTTGGTATTGTTAAGATTCTCATGATGATCTGGAATAAAAACCGTAAGAAAAACTACGAGAGATTCGGTGTGGAGCCCGAGGATGACATGGATGATGATGCTGTTATGTTACGGTCCACTAAATTCACCGGTTTTATCCTAAATATGTTTCTTCTTACGTGGTTCATTATTGGGAACGTCTGGTTTTATCAGATATGGACGCCAAATTATGACCAGCCGCTTCACGAACCCAGAAATTGGTGCCACGAGATGTTATATACGTACACCTTCTATCAGATACTCATATGCTATTCCCTGATTGGCTGTTATGTGTTCTTCATTGTCGCGTGCCTGGCGTATTACTGGTGTTGGTGCCCAAGGCGACAGCTAGACAAATCTTGAATTAGTAAGGACATCGAACCGAGGAAAATCAAAATGGTTAAAGGAAGGTCAGAAAAGAAATGACATGATCCGTGACAGACTTCCACCAGGAGAATCAATGAAAGACCTGAGTGTTTGACTCTCATTTGTTTACTGGGAGTATTCACAAAATGACATCTTCTCTCGAGATCGTGTAGTTATTAGACAGAAGGGGGAATAACTCCAATATGGTTGTGCGAACCGTTGCCTTGGCACAGATTCAGTGTAATTTTATTTTAGTGTTTGAAAAGACTTAATTTTCATGTGAAAGTACTTACGATGAAAACTCTTTGATCAACATTTTCTGGGTTTCATGTAACCAATTTGAAAATTGAGTATTAGATTTTGAAGTTGTGACAAATAAAACAATTTAACATTTCGTATGTGAACATTTGTGTATATATATATTCTTAATATTCTTTTCCCTTTAAGGTAGATAATTGTTTACGTTTTTTTATAGTCGTTGATCTGAGTTTTCAATACATTCCTGAACTTTCCTTTCATCTGATAAAGGCGTGTCATTTATATCACATTCAACAAATTGTAATAATATCGTTGTAATTCTATCTGGAACGATGTGACGCGATCATGTTCAGGTGCCAAAACGATGTAAACATTATGATAAGTATATATGGAGTTTAAAGGATAATATATGTCCATCATTTCCAAGTATAACGCATTGTATTACACTTGCATTTTTCAGTATAATAAGCATTTAAGGTGGACTAATTGTTTTGATCAGGTGATTTCGACATAGGAAATGATACCTGTAATGTATTCCGAATCATCTAATTATATAACAAGATTGCTGCTAAATTGATGTTTCTACACTGTTTCCTAAAGATATTGGCTAAATAATTTTTTATATAATAATCTATTGACGATGTACGGTAATTTCGAAAAAAAAACGCTTAAATTCAATTTCTAAACGGGGAGTTTTAATTATTTTAGATATTTGTTTTCGTGTTAAGATAGAATCGTTTGTCCATTTTCGCTAGATATTGTAAATGTATATTTTTGCCACTTTTTTGTGTGTCCATTGTTTGTCCATTGTTTATCTTTCTGATGTATATTACTGCCACTTCAGATGTTGTGACTTATTGATCATGTCACCATCACGATGTGTCAGCTCTTGTATTAAGCTCATTATTGTGCCTTGTAGTTCCTTGTCTCTACACCGGTTTTTATTTTGAGAACATGACATTTGTTGTACAGAACGAGAGTTTTCGATGTCAGTAACATGCAGCATCACACACACTTGTGTTATTTAAACTACACCAAGGGATAAACATGATTTTTCTTGTTAGTAACGAAAAATACATAATCTCATGAAATTGTAGGTAATTGTGAATGGTACATGTTTGTAGATTCAGTATTCTCCAAAAATAATTTCTTATTATAGCAAAACATGAAATTATATATTCTTAAGGTGAACAGAGAGATACTTCACTGAAATTAGATTTTTGTATTAGTTTGAAATGGTATGCAATCATTTTTTTCCTTGGTCAAATTTTGTTTTGTTTACGAATGTAAAAATTGGACTTTATATATTTTTTTTCAGATTTGCTGTGCTTGGTTGTGTTTTTCTTTGTTTTATTGACTTCAGATGTAATTGATTTTGTATTCATGCGTGAAGCTGTGAACATCTTATATGCCTTTGTGAAAATTTGATAGTTAATATTTACTTTTGAAATATAGTACAAAACGTTATACCCGCGGATGTGATGAAAAACAGCGAATTCCCGAAATCATGATCCTTATTTTGACAGACGAAAAACAAAATATTATCATCTTTAAAGCGAAAAGCATGACTTAAATATGCAAGTAAATACAATCACGTATTCACGAAGAAAACTTCATCGTCTACATTCAAAGCGTGCTGCATTGAAGGGTAGTTAATTTGAAGACAGGAACCAGCTTCATTACAATATCTTCGTAATACATTTTTTTTTATTAAGTTTTAATTCTGATTTGCAATAGGAATGATATTATGTCTTCACAAATATGGACGGTGATGTGGTGTTATGCACAATTATATATGTCTATTATATATATGCACAATGTAGTATTTACTTCTAAGATATTATCACTTGTGATGTGTTTATGTTTCCAATAGAGGTAAAATTTGTCCTAAATTCAATTTTGATATTGATGAGGTTTTTTTTTCTCCAAAAATCAATAAGTACATTTTCGAAAGACAATCCACTGAATCAGATCATGTTCATGTCAACATCTGTAATTTAATGCGAAAACCGTGAAACGTCTTGTGTTTTTTCACATTAATTTCTGTACCTTAACGTGATGAATTGAAGCACCATTAAAACAGAATCATCAATCGTCTCTATTTGTGTGATGTCGACAAAGCTACATGTAGTAATGTAAAACAGCCTGTATTTGTCAATCGGACTGAATTATTTCTACTGTGAGTATCGAAAAACTACGCATTCAACATTACACGTGACCATGTAATCACACAATGTTTCAAATTAACAGACAACTGGTATTTACCACTGAAAAATACGTAGCAAAAAATGAACTAAAATGAAGTTTTAGATACTTGTAAGACTGGGCACTCCGTTTTATCAAAACACCTTTTAAACTGTTTACTTTAAGTACAGTCAATCACGATTGATATTGTCGAACAAAATGTGGAAAAAAAAAACAACTTATCACCAGTTTCATCCGTAGTTAAACTTCTACTATAGGAGACATATTCCGGTACCTGGACAAGTTCGAACTCGTTTGACACAAACAATAAAAGCGACTATATCACAATTCTACAGTAGTCATGGTACCCGTCTAAAAAAAACCTGTATAATATTTTAAACATATATAGAGTTTTATCAATTTCAATGAACCATATCGTGATTTCCTCAACATCAAAAAATTTTGTCACTATAGAGAAGTTGGACAAAGAATCATAGAAGAAAAGGTTTTAAAATGAAAAGGTTGTCACTGTGTACGATTTTTGTTCGTCGAAATATATTTTCGAAGCTGTCGAAGGAAATTTCTAAAATAACAAAAAAGTAGCTACCTATTTAATTGCCATGTTTCCTATCACGGTTAGTGTTCAGCAGCTCTGACCAAAAGACCATAAACTTGAACTCATTAGACTATCAAATAAGCGTGATCTAGTATTGTCTCTCAAAGTAATTACTAGTTGTCTGGACCGACAGATCGATTTAAAAGGTTCTGGCATATTCCAAGTACAATAACTCTATATATTATTATTGTTATTAGTATTGATATGGTATTATCTATGATGAATCAATTTGAAAGCCTTGTATGTCAATGTGACATTCCCAATTTCTCAGTGTCATTTGTTAATCATTTTGTTGTTATCCTTGTTATGCAATTGTGTATAAAACCGTTTTGAAAAGAACACTTTTATGAATGTCTTGAGAGTAATTTTGTACATTTTTGATATTGTTGTCCTATGTCTAAAAAGATATTGGGTGATCACTGTTGTATTAGAAACGTAAATGACGTCTGTAAAAACTAACAATAAAAAACAGGTTGTAAATGTTCTATTTCTCCTTCAAATTGTCCTGATGTAACATCAAATAAAAACGTTAACTGGATTTGAATTATAGTCGTGTTTACTTTGTAGTTAATTAACATCCTCTAACTATTCAAACCAACTGTATTTTTTTGTATTATGTTAATATGTTGTTAGTGGCGCTGTTTGGGTATAATTGACAGCAGCACGACAACAAAATACTTTCAAGAACAAATGAATTAACCGAATATTTATTTCCTTTTTACGAAATGCATAACCATGTAACATAATATATTTATATCTTACATGGCTCGTAACAATCATAGCTTATTATTATAAAAAATTATGTTAGAAAACATCGTACATTTCAACATCTTGAACATTACAAATCAATGATCCATAGAAAACAAGATGTTTACTAAACAAGATATTTATGAAACACGATGTTTGTAAAACAAGATGTTTATAAAACAAAATGTTTATAAAACAAGATGTTGGTAAAACAAGATGATTATAAAACAAGATATTTTTAAAACAAGATGTTTATAAAACAAGACGTTTTATTGCTGTCCGCCTTGATACTTGTCATTCATAGTTGGAATGCATAGTTCGGTAATCTGTAAACACTCAGGAATGTTGAGCTGAAGAATATTACCGGTCGCTAAACTGTAAAAATTCGGGAACTTATGAACTGTGCATGAATTGTAAAAACTCAGGGAATCTTGAACTGTAGAAAGGTATTGATCGATAAACTATGAACACGTATCGACCGGCGAACTACTCGTGGATTGGTCATTGGAAATCTGAACTGAATAGTTTCATGAATCGACGAATTGCGGACAATAGTTGTCACTGAGATGGAAAATCTCATGAAATATTGCATAACTGTAGAACTCCGGGATTCAGAAACGTTTTCTGTAAGAATTAATTATTGCCGTTTTATAAACCTCATTGTCTCGGAATTATTATACCATAAAATATATGTTTCTTTTGCATGGAGGCAGTATTTTTAACAAAGATCCTGGTACATTAATTGCGTATGATAAATATATTAACAACAACATGTCCTGAATTTTTACAGTGGGACCTCGAATCAAAATTTCATCATTGTTTACAACTTTTCGGATGTCTCTACTTCGGCTTTGACGTAAGGTTTTAATCCGTCCGAAGCATTAACTGCCTCATTATCATAACATCCGCCATCAAGTTCAATTCCCTCCTTGCGATCCGTTCTTTTGGAACTGTACCGGAAATGATGTATCAGACATGCTCCACAAATGATGACAAAAAGTGAACCAGCAGCTATTCCCCCAACCATCGCATTGTGTCGATAGCGCTTAATCAATTTTGAGTAATCTGGTCCGTCGATGTTTAAACCTTTTGGAATGACGTCCACCTGGTAATTATTCCTCACTATAACACAATAATACATTCCGAAATCTTCGTCGTTAACATCAGTGATTGTAAGACTAAAATCAAACCAATCCGATATAATCCATGCTAATTTTCCTCTCTGGATTTTAGAAATAGAAGTATTGTCAATTTTTTCCCCTGATGGAAGAATCCAGTACTTGGCTTGTATATTAGCGGCGTTACCAGGGTTGGTAGTTATGTTAAGCTTGGAGTTGTCACACTTCAGTGTAGTGGTATTGAAATATTCCACCTTAATGTTGTCGGCGAGACTGGCCCGAATCAAAGCCATCATCACGCTGCCCAGAATTAGAATCCGCACGTCCATGGCCGGTCGCCTAAAACACAGAATTTATCTCAACACAATTCAAAAATATGAAATAAGTAAAAAAAAAAAAAAAAAAGAATATTCATTAAAATTCTATAAATAATATTGTTTCACACGAGAACTAATATTCTTAAATTTCTAAAACGCACTGTACTCACTGACCTCAATTATGGATGACTATACATGTAATTTGAAATGAGCGGTAAGTATGTATGAAGCGGGCAGCGATACATGTTCAGAGCATGTAATATCCTCATATTTGTTGGGGTGGCAAACCAAATACCATTACTCAGCTAAACATTCCGTAACACCAAAAAAAACCCAATCAAAGTCAACTTAGAAATGGAATTGAACATCACAGAAAGTAAATTGGATGAGGTCAGGACAGATCTAAGGCGGTAGATAATTATCATTTAACATTTGACACATAGATTGCGCTACAAATGCAGGATCTTTTTTATAAATAGCTTTTCTAATATGAAATGAAAACAAACTTAAAATACTTTTTATCACATAAATCATTTAACACTTATGACGTCACGTCAATAAAGATACAGATGCTGAATAAAGCATCGTAATAATGTTTCTACAAGATAGGAGATAAAACACCTCCAAGACGAATATTTTATTTCTCACATTTTTCTCAGTCAGCCTCTACAGATGTCCATTTTATTTTACCGCTCTAACTGCTGGTTTTATGACTCCGTATGATAACATACAATAGTTTCACATCTCACTCTTCAAATAATTTGTCTGAAAAGACGAGTATAACACATGTACCACCCTAGATACCACCAACAAGGTTTTTTTTTTCGTATCCCTGACAAATTATCATTCATTAAGGTTACCTTTACTCCGCTAGCGTACATATAAAAGGAAGCTAATTGTGGGCGGAGCCAGTTGTACCGCAATGCACACTGGGAAAAAATATTGACAGTTTACATGCATATGTGTATGAAATGAAACTAAACGAGGGCAAATATATTATAGATATAATGGTGTGGACCAACAGAGTAAATCATAAATATGTTGATTATGTTTCTTATTGTTTATGCTATGTAAAAGGTTTTGATTAACCTAAACAATAGCGATACAATAGCGCCCTAGTGGGACATATGCTACAAAATTTATTTCTATATAATCAACAGAAATATATTGTTCTCGGGGTTTTAGGCAGAAAATACATATCCAGATGAAACTATCTGTCGACTTTTAATCTAAAGAGTCAAACAAGGTCGGTATTCGGTCTAAACATTTAGATAAGTTGAACTTATCAAACACTTAAATTGTTTATAAAACAAATACTGGCGAGTTGATGACCCCATCCCGCGTATCAGCCCCAATAAGTGTGTAACAGTCATTTCTGTTACCCCATCCCGCGTATCAGCCCCAATAAGTGTTTAACGGTCATTTCTGTTACCCCATCTCGCGTATCAGCCCCAACAAGTGTTTAACAGTCATTTCTGTTACCCCATCCCGCGTATCAGCCCCAATAAGTGTTTAACAGTCATTTCTGTTACCCCATCTCGCGTATCAGCCCCAATAAGTGTTTAACCGTCATTACTGTTACCCCATCCCGCGTTTCAGCCCCAATAAATGTTTAACAGTGATTTCTGTTACCCCATCGCGCGTATCAGCCCCAATAAGTGTTTAACAGTCATTTCTGTTACCCCATCCCCCGTATTAGTCCCAATAAGTGTTTAACAGTCATTTCTGTTACCCCATCCCGCGTATCAACCCCAATAAGTCATTTCTGTTACCCCATCCCGCGTATCAGCCCCAATAAGTGTTTAACAGTCATTTCTGTTACCCCGTCACGCGTATCAGCCCCAATAAGTGTTCAACTGTCATCTATGTTACACGTGTTTTAACAACATTTATTCCAATACAACACGTGTACATGGTTCTTTGCCCTGTTACTGGTAGGGATAATGCTGGGATTTTTATTCGGAAGTTAGTGTTAAATCATCGCGGAAGGATATCAGTTTTACTCGCCCTGTATCGGCTATCGGAATACCGAATACATGTAATGGTTTGTGCCATTGAACACAGACATAGATTTAATATATTCTGTAGCACGGAAATGTAAGCTCGTACCAGAATCATACCGATACGACAACGTGACCTTGCTTCTCAGCCCACAAACACTCCCAAACTGATGCCTAATAATTTTTTTTTTAATTTCTAGACCATTGCTAGTTGCTTTTATCCGTGTACCTGTCGATGTAGGACTCCGTGATCACGTGTGTGTGTTAATATCACTGTCGTGTACCCGTTAAGGAATGACATTTTCAAAATTCAGAGGAAGACCGTCAAAAACGATGTACAGTATATAAATGATTTGACCGGTACAAGTACCATACTAAGCTCTATATCACAATATCTGTTTTGTTGCTGTTTACTCATAAATGACTGTGCAACTTTTTCTGTCAAAGTTGCCATACAATAGATATTCCTGAGGACATGTCTGTAAAGTATACAAGATGGGTTTCCTTCGTTTTTTTGTAAATATTAATGGGTGTTGAGCATAAAAAAAATCAGAATTAAAATAAAAAAATAGATTACTTACATGTAGACACTTAGACAAGAGCAATTTAACTTGCACCACTTTGCGAGGGGCTCACAACTGTTTTAGAACTGGACAAATATTGAAAAGCTGATTTCTTATATTTCTGAGTTCGAGGTGGTACTTATCCAGGTCAGATTGAATTCAGAGACCAGTGACTTTGTCGCTTAAAGTGAGCACTTACCTTTTGTAATTGCCTTCTTCCGCCATCTTGAAAAGACCATTTTGTACCACGGATATCGAGATGTCCTAATCTTCGACAAATCCAATTTGGGTCAGATCTCCCTATAAATCTCACGCGCATTGGATAAGCCGAGCTAGCCCTAATTGTTTTATCTGTTTTTATGTGTCGTACACATATTAATGTATATGTACATTATATAAACTAAGATTAACCTTACAAACCCACCTTTACTGTTTAACGTTTGTTACATGTCATATTGATAAACAACTTGTGTAAATAAGTTGATAGATATGTATACTTACAAATGTAGACACCGATGTTTTCCGGGTCAACTTGGTTTTTGTGATCTGTTACATACGACCGAATATCATAGTTTGTGTAGGTGACATTTATCTACAAGGCCCTTAGTGGTGTAGGTATTTACCTCGGTTTGTGTACATAACGGTATCCTTTCCTTATACTCCCTCTGTATTACAGTACGTCACTATGTGTAAATGTAGGTGTGGAGAAACGGACGCACATGTACTAAAGTACGTGTGACACGTGTACTACTTAATCATTTTAGACACTCTTAAAGGGACATCATTTATATGGTATTGTTGACAAGGACGCGTTTTTTGTCAACAAATTTGTCATACAAATTAACATATAATGCTGTCTTAACACTATTCAACATCAATGTAACTTTATATCCTGTTTATAATTCACGTGCTACAATAAACTACGATAGCTGACACTTTTTGAGCGCGTGGATGACCTCAGCTTTTAATTTGCTAGCATGTTTTGCACTTATGAATGATGTGATAAAATTGTATTTAAAAGATATAACTTTGGTATCACAACCTTTTTAATCTGTCACATGTTACATTGAATTTCAGTTAAGTATTTTCCTTATTTAAAAGCACTGACCTATTCCGATATGTGAACTCCCGATAATGATATGTACGCGTTACAGCGAGTGATAAGAACCCGCGGTCGTTTATTAAAAGTAACATAAATTATAAGGATACGAACGTGTCTCTGCATTGATATCAAACGCGCCCGGGATAAACTTACCCCGACTTAATTACACACGTTAAGGATTTATTTACACTTATGTCTCTCCAACGTTATCAAATATAAAAAGAACTTAACGATAAACTGGTCTTGTATCGTGAAATTATTTCAGGTGTACTCTTAGGACGTGTGATCTAGCTACACATAGGACGTGTGATCTAACTATACATAGGACGTGTGATCTAACTATACATAGGACGTGTGATCTAGCTACACTTAGGACGTATGATCTAGCTATACATAGAACGTGTGATCTAGCTACACATAGGACGTGTGATCTAACTATACATAGGACGTGTGATCTAGCTACACTTAGGACGTATGATCTAGCTAACATAGAACGTGTGATCTAACTATACATAGAACGTGTGATCTAGCTACACATAGGACGTGTGATCTCTAACTATACATAGGACGTGTGATCTAACTGCACATAGGACGTGTGATCTAGCTACACATAGGAAGTGTGATCTAGCTATTGTTAAGATGTGTGATCTAGCTACACATAGGACGTATGATCTAGCTATTGTTAGGATGCGTGATCTAGCTACACATAGGACGTGTGATCTAGCTACACATAGGACGTGTGATCTAGCTATTGTTAGGATGTGTGATATAGCTACACATAGGACGTGTGATCTAACTATACATAGGACGTGTGATCTAACTATACATAGGACGTGTGATCTAACTATACATAGGACGTGTGATCTAACTGCACATAGGACGTGTGATCTAGCTACACATAGGAAGTGTGATCTAGCTATTGTTAAGATGTGTGATCTAGCTACACATTGGACGTGCGATCTAACTACACATAGGACGTGTGATCTAGCTACACTTAGGACGTATGATATAGCTACACATAGGACGTGTGATCTAGCTACACTTAGGACGTATGATATAGCTACACATAGGACGTGTGATATAGCTACACATAGGACGTGTGATCTAACTACACATAGGACGTGTGATCTAGCTACACATAGGACGTGTGATCTAGCTACATTTAGGACGTATGATCTAGCTACACTTAGGACGTATGATCTAGCTGCACATAGGATGTGTCATCTAGCTATTGTTAGGATGTGTGATCTAGCTACACATAGGACGGTGATCTAGCTACACATAGGACGTGTGATCTAGCTATTGTTAGGATGTGTGATATAGCTACACATAGGACGTGTGATCTAACTATACATAGGACGTGTGATCTAACTATACATAGGATGTGTGATCTAGCTACACATAGGACGTGTGATCTAGCTACACTTAGGACGTGTGATCTAGCTACACATAGGACGTGTAATCTAGCTACATTTAGGACGTGTCATCTAGGTACACTTTGGACGTGTCATCTAGCTACACATAGGACGTGTGATCTAGCTACACATAGGACGTGTGATCTAGCTACACATAGGACGTGTGATCTAGCTATTGTTAGGATGTGTGATATAGCTACACATAGGACGTGTGATCTAACTATACATAGGACGTGTGATCTAGCTACACATAGGACGTGTGATCTAGCTATACATAGGACGTGTGATCTAGCTAAACATAGGACGTGTAATCTAGCTACACTTAGGACGTGTCATCTAGCTACACTTAGGACGTGTCATCTAGCTACACTTAGGACGTGTGATCTAACTATACATAGGACGTGTGATCTAACGATACATAGGACGTGTGATCTAGTTACACATAGGACGTGTCATCTAGCTACACATAGGACGTGTAATCTAGCTACATTTAGGACGTGTCATCTAGCTACACTTAGGACGTGTCATCTAGCTACATATAGGACGTGTCATCTAGCTACACTTAGGACGTGTCATCTAGCTACATATAGGACGTGTGATCTGTAAACATAACATCATCTGGTTAATCTGATGGACAGCTTCATCATCATCAATTCACTTACCTACTTTATAGTCAAAGTAATTCTAACTCTCTTAATGTAATTTTTTGCCAATAGTCACCTTTATGTTTCTAAATCATCGACAGTCAACATCAACCGAGGCTTCATTTTTGCCAATACAAACTAGTCTGAACCTTTAGTTGGAACCTTTTTCGTCGTCAAATGAAAATCACGTCTTTCGTCAATAACCAATGTTGAACCTTACTTCATCGCCATCAAGATGTAAGTTTTAAATGAACATTACTGTTCGTTAGTTAGAATTCAGAATAAGCTGAAGTTCAATTACCATATAAGGCAGTCTTTTTACATATAGGACATCTACTTCCAGTTCAATAATTTCTTATTATTTTTTGCGAGTTTACATGAAAGTATTTAGGTATAGAACATATTATTTCCAACTACTACCACTTCTGTTATATACTAGAAAGGTCTTTTTGGTCATATAACTGTTCAGGTGCGTGGGCCTCTTATGTGACAGTCAATGAGTCAAATGCTACAAAATTTAATCATCCTCTGCAAATTTGACCAGAAGTAATGTTGCATCGAAAGAGAATCAAGTTTGCTCAGATGAATCACCTTGACCTACTATTAAGGTCTCAGGAATCAGATTATAGACTTTTTCCAAATTGTAAATATATCACACCAGTATTTGCTATGTGTAATATTTTTGAAATATTCAATAGATATTGTTTTAGCTACAACTTATTATATCAATACCATCAAATTACGTATTGAATGAACAAACGACCCAGGATATTTATCCAAAAGCACACTCCTGTAAGATAGACAGCTATGTTTGTTGATTTCTTACTGTGAAAATTATCACATAAATACGTCATGGCTAAATAACGGAATGAAATCAAACGGGAAGTTAATATTAACTACATATATGTACATACAAAAATCCAGGAGGCGTTAACTGGGTCACCAGGTCAAAGGTCAAAGTAACATTTTAGCTAGAATGTATTTTATTGATAAATATTTTGTTATGTCATTATTAAACACAGTTCGCCAGAATCAAATGATCATAAGTTGTAATGAATGATAGTTAGTTTAAAGAGTGTGCAGTCTAGTGTAGGAAGTTGCTGACGTGTAATCCAGATAAAGGAGGATTAGATTACTTTAAAGCTAACTTTCACATCTCTCCTTTATATTTATGTAAAAGAGCATGAGCTTCGTGAATTATATGTACCACATACCAAATTTCAAATTAAACATGTGATTGACTGCTACAATAATGTTTGTTTACAGTACTTCCAGTACTTTGATCGTTATGATGATAACAAATCTTGTCTGATACTGAACGATAAAACATTATAAGCGTTTATAACAGAATTTCTATTTTCAACAATTGTACAGTATACAGACTGGTCTTTGTAAATATAAACAAATGATAATGACAGATACATCTCGCCACGACGTTAAATTTCAAACTAGCTATCCTTCATAACAAAAATAAAATGACTGATTCTTAGTACAAATACTATGTACAGCCCGAATAGCATTTAGGAAATAAGCACTAATTTAATACTGGGCTTTATTGAGCCACAATTAACGGAGGCAGTCGCGATGTTCTTTGTAAAAGTTTTGTATCTAAAACGCACGTCACAACCCGTACTGCAACTAAACATTTAATCACGTGACCTAATAAATCAATGTGGGCAAACAACTGAAAACTAGAGTGAGGAAAATTAGGATAAAGTAGAACTTTTGTGATGTAAAAAAAATTGTGAGGTGTTTTGTAGAAGCGCCAAAGGCTAAATTGTGGAAAGAAACCGGAGTGTCCTATTGGCTCACCCAGGACTATCAGTAATTTGACGACAAGGTGTTTTGTAACAGACGACTAAAAACAACGTACATACAATAAATCCCCACCTTTTTGAAAGGGCTCATCTTAGCAGACGATAAGTACTTAAACTTATTTTTAAAGTTGTGATTGCACTTTTTTCACTCGAGTTAAACTAACCTGTATTTAGTAGGAGTTATGTCCCTTTGCATACATCGGGCTGTCCATCTTCACCAGGTTAATAAACTCACTTCAGATAAAAG